AGCAATTAGCTTCAGAATTTTATCTTCAAATGACTTGCATTCAACATTGTCAATCACATCGACACGAGGATGCCCCAGCCAAGCCTTCAATCAACAATTATCACAATTAGCATGTGAACAAGCTTTGATCTTTTTACACTGTGTAGAGCCATGTATCCATCATTTCTTCGGCGTATATCAAATTCGTTTTATAGAAGTAAAGGTGCGTTATCTGGCAGCTAGCCAAATGGGACAAATCGATTTTTGCTCAAAAATCTCGATTTTTAATAAGCAGAAAATGCCGGTGTTAGCATCGATCACAATTCCTCTCATGTAATTTTTAGTAGTTAGCGATAACTGGAAATACTAGTAGTTTTTTTTTCCTAATAGTTAGCGATAATTGGAAATACTAGTAATTTAATTGCATAAAGTCATAATGAAAGTATACATATATATTTATGACAAAAGTATGGTGGGTGCGGAAATTTGAAGTGAACATTTATCACCCGTTTTTTCTTAAAAAATAGATTCTTTTGCTTTAGACTCAGCCGACATCAAAATCAACGCTAGCAATCCAAAAAAATGTCAATTCAGGAGTCGAATTTCGATGCAGCATGAGAAACAGAACAGCTTACAGCACAAGTAAGACGATCCTGCTCGATTGCTTGCTGGATACCTTCCTTTCTTGTCGCATTATTTGCAAGAGTATAATATTCCGCAGCACCATCCGCCGCAGTGGTCATATGCACAATCTATAAGATAATCAATTCTTAAAAAGTTTGAAAAAGCGAAAAAACTTGTATCCTGAAAATGGATGAATCGTCGCCTTCAGGATATGAATTCGCGCGTTAATTTGATATATCTGATTTAGTAAGTCCTGCCGGATTACGAAAAAAGGATAGAACTGGAGATTGCTGAAAGGCTAAAAGTATGAGCGGTGGTTGTTTCATTCCACTCATACTCAAGCCCTCTCAAATACTTATCATGAAGGCGTCTCTCAACAAAAATCTTCACATATCTTGCATTTGCTCCACCACAGCTTAGCGTACGCTTTTGAGGCGCTGCTAATTTTGGGTTTCACCAAAACGCTAGAAAAATCATCAAATTCTGAATGCCAGCAGAGCGCCCTCCCAATTACCTATTTTTATGATAACGGCGCGCGCGTGAAGCATAATTTTGAGCCTCGTTTTGCTGAA